TGAAGGACAGCTATGAAAATGTATTTTGTCACACATAGGTGGAGTGCAACCATCTATTCTTACAGGGTTGGCAGCTGAGCCTGACAAAACGTACCAGGAAAGGCAGTAGGAAGAGTGAGGCAAGGACTTGGAAGAAAAGAGCAGTAGGAACTAGATAGTAATGTTCCTGGAAAATAAAGACTATCAGGTCTTCCCCTACTCCCCCCCTTCCCCACCCCCAAATATTCAAGTCTAAAGTATATGTGTGTGCTTTGGGAGCAACATAACTCTTGTCCAGCCCTGAAATTGCACCAATTAACAGTTGCTGACTTAATGCATTTTTTAATGCTATTTGGAATAAATTAGTTGGAGTGAGATGTTATTTTGTTTCTTTATTGGTTGATTGTTTTTTGTTTTTGTTTTTTTTAATATATTTTATTGATTTTGTACAGAGAGGAAGGGAGAGAGATAGAGAGTTAGAAACATCGATGAGAGAGAGTCATCGATCAGCTGCCTCTTGCACACCCCCTACTGGGGATATGCCCGCAACCAAGGTACATACCCTTGACTGGTATCGAACCCGGGACCCTTCAGTCCCCAATCCGACGCTCTATCCATTGAGCCAAACCGGTCTCAGCCTGGTTGATTGGTTTTTAAGACACCCAACCAGCTGAGCAATTCAATAACTTTAGAGCTGGTAAACAATATTCAGCTTGAGAATTTGAGAAAGAAGAAGGGTTGAATTATTGTCTTTTAAAGCCCCTCTTGTCAAAAGGGAAGGAAAGATACTGCTGAGTGAGATATGGAGAAGTTTTTTTTTTTTTTTTTTTTTAACATTAAGCATTTAAATTAAAAACATTTAAAGTTAACATTAAAAAATTTAGATCTCTCTCTCTCTCTCTCTCTCTCTCTCTCTCTCTCTCTCTCTCTCTCTCTCTCTCTCTCTCTCTCTCTCTCCTTCCTTCCTTCCTTCCTTCCTTCCTTCCTTCCTTCCTTCCTTCCTTCCTTCCTTCCTTCCTTCCTTCCTTTCCACCGATCTATCTAAAAGAAGATACATGAACTGATTTTGATTTTTAGAGGAAAGAAAGTAAGGGAAACCAACATTTGATGTATGTTCTCTAGGTGCTAGAGTTCTGTGTTAGGTAGCCTGGTGGGATAGAAGACACCTGGGCTTTGAGTTATCAGGGTCTGACTTGAATTTGCCACTTTGCTGGTTACCAACTATGTGTATTTCAGGAAGTTTTTAAAACTCTCCTAATCCCTGATTTTGCAAGGTTGTTGTAAGGAAATTGTCTGAAAACACAGTAAGTAAGCATTCAATACATTTTAGTTTTCTTCCTTTAATCCACTGTGGAATAAATAACACAAATATTTAATATTTTATATGAAGTAAAAGAAGTAGGACTGAAACTGTTTTTTTTGATTTCCAGCCCTAGAGGAATCTAGAAGTAATAATGACTTTAAGCTGAGGTTTATTTGCCTACATTGGTATCTGAGAGATCTTGTTTTGTTTTGCCCAAGCAGATCATCCCATTTGTATATTCTCTGTATTTCCTCTTCTCTAATAACCTCCCCGTGGGAAACTACTTCTACCTTTCATGTATATATTCTAATGAGGACTGATAACCAGTCAACCCTTAGAGCCTTAATTTTAGAGAAACTAGACAAAGCCAGAAACACATCTAAGTGATTGGCAATCAGAGAGTGATTCTCCATTTTGTCCTTTTCCTAATTGTTGTATTTCATTTATAGGCAGTAGGAGGACACAATATTTTTGTCAGGGTATATCGTGAAGAAATTTTTGTCAGTGTATATCATGATGACAGAATCCAGATGATCCAGCAATATAAGAGCAAATTAATATATTTAAATAATCTTTAGGAAGTGGACATGTTTCTCTTGCAAATTCCATACTTGTGCTAGGTAGCTTCATAATACTAAGGGAAAACTTGTAAACTTCCACTGGTAAACTTCTGTGTACTTGTAAGCAGAGCTTTTGGTCACTTTCACTTACTAGGCTTTCCAAAGATTAGATAAGATGTTGCTTAAAATAGGTTTCAGACTCCTATTTGTGTGCACAAGTTTCAGTTTTATATCCTACATATGAATAAAATCATATAGTTCTTAGCTCCCCCCCCTGACTTATTTGACTGAGCATAATATTCTCAAGGTCCATCCATGTTGTTGAAAATGGCAGGTTTTTAAAAATCTTTTCTTATGGTTGAGTAGCATTCTGCTGTGTATACGTACCATATCTTTTGTTTTTTAGAAAAAAATATTTTAAAAATATTTTTATCGATTTCAGAGAGGAAGGGAGAGGGAGAGAGCGATAGAAACATCAATGATGAGAGAGAATTACTGATAGCTGCTTCCTGATGCCCACCACCCAGGCATGTGCCCTGACCAAGAATTGAACTATGACCTCCTGATTCATAGGTTGACATCAACCACTGAGCCATGCTGCTGAGCTGTACCACATCTTCTTTATCCAATCCTCTATCGAAGGACACCTTGGCTGTTTCCATGTCTTGGCCACCTTGAATAATGCTGCAATGAGCATAGGGGTACATATATCTTTGTGAATACACGTTTTCAAGTGTATCCTGTATATATTCAGAAGAGAGATTGCTGGGTCAAATGGTAGATCTGTTCTTAGCTTTTTGAGGAATCATCAGATTGTTTTTCATAGTGGCTGTACAAGTCTACATTCCCACCAGCAGTGAATGAGGGTTCCCTTTCATCCACAACCTCTCCAACACTGAGGGAAGGGGGTAGAGAACTGGGGGTTAAAGAGGGCCTAATATATGATGATAGAAGAATATTTGACTTTGGGTGGTAGGCATACAGTGCAATATATCTTATAATGTAGAAATCCATACCTGAAACCTATATGATCCTATTAATCAACATCACCCCAGTAAACTTAATTAAAAAAAAAAAAAGATTTCAGAGTCTGTGTGAATGGCCCTTCAATAGTGCCAGAGTTTATTATTAGAGAGGAAGATGCCCCCTGCTGACTTGGTTTATTTTCAATCAAATCTAATTTTGCCTGAATCTTCTTTTACTGTTTTTTTACTTGTCCATTGCCCCTAAGCTTACATGTATACTCACCATTGATTACATTAGAGTGGTCAACACAGGTTTCACTCAGCATGTATTATTATTATTGTTTTAAAAACATTTTTATTGATTTCAGAGAAGAAGGGAAAAGGAGAGAGAGAGATAGAAGCTGGGAATTGATCCATGACCTTCTGGTTTATAGGTTGACAGCTCAACCACTGAACCACGCCAATTGGGGGAGCATGTTGTATTATTTTAGATCTTTTCTGGTTATTAAAAACTCTTGGAATATTTGCACTTCCATAAGCAACCGATGCATGCCAGGTGTCTAGTACATACTGGCCTTCAATTTCCCACATTCAAAGGTCATTTTTATCTAGAAAGTTTGAAGAAAGAAGAATTTTATCTTTGTTTCTCCTAATTTGGCCACTGAAAGTTGGCATGTGTCCCCACTGAGAATTGAACCTGCAACCTTTGGGTGCACATGATGATGCCTAACCAACTGAGCCACATTAGCCAGGACAAAGACTATATTTTTAATCATTTTTCTTCAACTGGAAAATTCAGGACACCATTAGCCTTCACTGCCATAAACCTCCATTGATATTTCAATTAATATCTTTGACAGAGTTTGTGGTGCATGACTCATTTCCAGGGCTTGGATTGTCTCAGGGTACAGCTCTGAGGATTATGTTTAATGATTTTTGTAATGATCATTATTAACAAAGCATCTGAGGTCAACCCATAAGTATAAAGCATTTCTTCCTGTAAATGCTTTGGACAGTAATTACATTGAGGAAAAGGTCAGATATAATTAAGTTTATTGAGATTTGCCTTCATTGAATCCTTTATTGTTGGTATCTGATGCTTTACTGCCATCTAGGTGTTCAGAGGTAGAAGGAAATGTACATCTGACTTCATGACAGGGATCTTTGTGTTTGTGAGGATGAAAGAGAAGCAAAACTATACCTTGATGAAAAGTTTATTGTCAATTCTTTGCAGTACAATTTTCTGGATCCTATATCCAGGAAGTAATGACAATAAATTCAAAAGTAGTAGCACAGAATTCCAGTGGTAGCACAAAAGAAGCAATTCTTCTGAATCTTCAATACCATAACATTCTTTGCTCAGTACATGGAATATGTTATAATGCTATTAGAGAAAAATTGGCTCCTGAACCAATTAGCTCTCTGCATAGGTTTGTCAATAAATAATTGAAACAAAACTGGAAAATCTAAAATTTGAATTTCAGGAAAAAAATTGCCCATTTTATCCCAAAGCACCCAAATTGCTTTTGTCATAGAGTATTAAATATAGTCCCAAATGCCATTTGGTTCTTCCATTCACTGTTTTTTAGTCAAAGAGCTCAAAGGTTAAGGAGCCTTACAAAAAACACCTTGCACCAAACAAAAGAGTAGCACAGTTAAAATATATATACCCCCACTACCAAAAGAGGGATCACATTAAATATCTTAATTACATGTGTATGGAATTTCTTCTTTGAGTTAGTTCTTGTTTTAAGTTAGTTTTCTATTATCTTCAAATTATTATTCAGAGTAATAATACTTTTGCTCTCGGATATATTGATAGAATGGGGTGTTAATATCTAAATGAGAAGGACCTAAGTCTGTTCTTCCCCTTCTATGGTAACCCCTAGTTTCAGAGTCTCTTGCCTTCTTATTATCCATATGCTGACTTTGTCTTCTGATGCTCCCTAACATCCTTGATCCTGACTCTTGCTTTTGCCTATCCCCGCTCCACCCAGTTGTACTGCTTGATGAATACCTATATCTATACTCCTCAGTTCCTGTGTGATCTTGGTTCTGAAGAGAGTGACTGGAAATGGATCTTTCCCTTCTGCTTCTGCTGTCACTTGCCTGTCCAAAGCTATCGCTTGAGTGGCCATGGCTATATATTTGCCTTTCATTGGTGTTGAATCCAGATTGATCCTGGACATCTCCGGATTGTCCATGACTTGATCCCTGTCTTGCAAAAGTTATGCTGGATTCTACCTGATCTTGAGAAGATGTATCTCCGAAATGCTGTTGACTGGATCCATGTATATCAATTGTATTGAAGTCTGACTGTCTATGTCTAGATCCTGATTGTTTATTAATTGGTTTCTCCCAATCTTCTGAACGCACTTTACTATTATTATGGGAACCCTGCCTAAAAATTGAACTAGATTCTGACTGGCTGTGAACTGACACTTGCTTATTTTCAGTTCTGTTCCTTGGCCAAACAGGGCCTGAATTGTGACTGCTTTTTCGACTACCCCCTGAAGGTCCGTACCCAGATTGCCCATAGTCATATCCTGCATTTCCATAGCTACCGTGTTTCCATCTTTGACTTGATCCATGACTTTGTCTTCCACCTGCCTTTCCTGACTGTCCATGAGTAGTTCCCTGTCTCCCTGTACCAGAGGATCCCCACTCTCCATGCTGAGATCCAGCCTGGCCATGACTAGACCCAGGGTGTCCCTGTGAGCCTCCGGAATGCCATTCACTGCCACTGGACTCACTGTGACTAGATCCCCTTCTTCCACCACTGTGAGATCCTGACTGTGAGGAATGGCCATGATGTATGCCGGGGTGTCCTGACTGTCCATGAGTAGTTCCCTGTCTCCCTGTACCAGAGGATCCCCACTCTCCATGCTGAGATCCAGCCTGGCCATGACTGGACCCTGGGTGTCCCTGTGAGCCTCCGGAATGCCATTCACTGCCACTGGACTCACTGTGACTAGATCCCCTTCTTCCACCACTGTGAGATCCTGACTGTGAGGAATGGCCATGACCTGCCTGCCCATGTATGCCGGGGTGTCCTGACTGTCCATGAGTAGTTCCCTGTCTCCCTGTACCAGAGGATCCCCACTCTCCATGCTGAGATCCAGCCTGGCCATGACTGGACCCTGGGTGTCCCTGTGAGCCTCCGGAATGCCATTCACTGCCACTGGACTCCCTGTGACTAGATCCCCTGATTCCACCACTGTGAGATCCTGACTGTGAGGAATGGCCATGACCTGCCTGCCCATGTATGCCGGGGTGTCCTGACTGTCCATGAGTAGTTCCCTGTCTCCCTGTACCAGAGGATCCCCACTCTCCATGCTGAGATCCAGCCTGGCCACGACTGGACCCTGGGTGTCCCTGTGAGCCTCCGGAATGCCATTCACTGCCACTGGACTCCCTGTGACTAGATCCCCTGATTCCACCACTGTGAGATCCTGACTGTGAGGAATGGCCATGACCTGCCTGCCCATGTATGCCGGGGTGTCCTGACTGTCCATGAGTAGTTCCCTGTCTCCCTGTACCAGAGGATCCCCACTCTCCATGCTGAGATCCAGCCTGGCCACGACTGGACCCTGGGTGTCCCTGTGAGCCTCCGGAATGCCATTCACTGCCACTGGACTCCCTGTGACTAGATCCCCTGATTCCACCACTGTGAGATCCTGACTGTGAGGAATGGCCATGACCTGCCTGCCCATGTATGCCGGGGTGTCCTGACTGTCCATGAGTAGTTCCCTGTCTCCCTGTACCAGAGGATCCCCACTCTCCATGCTGAGATCCAGCCTGGCCATGACTGGACCCTGGGTGTCCCTGTGAGCCTCCGGAATGCCATTCACTGCCACTGGACTCCCTGTGACTAGATCCCCTGATTCCACCACTGTGAGATCCTGACTGTGAGGAATGGCCATGATGTATGCCGGGGTGTCCTGACTGTCCATGAGTAGTTCCCTGTCTCCCTGTACCAGAGGATCCCGACTCTCCATGCTGAGATCCAGCCTGGCCACGACTGGACCCTGGGTGTCCCTGTGAGCCTCCAGAATGCAATTCACTGCCACTGGACTCCCTGTGACTAGATCCCCTGATTCCACCACTGTGAGATCCTGACTGTGAGGAATGGCCATGACCTCCTTGCCCATGTATGCCAGGGTGTCCTGACTGTCCATGAGTAGTTCCCTGTCTCCCTGTACCAGAGGATCCCCACTCTCCATGCTGAGATCCAGCCTGGCCATGACTGGACCCTGGGTGTCCCTGTGAGCCTCCGGAATGCCATTCACTGCCACTGGACTCACTGTGACTAGATCCCCTAATTCCACCACTGTGAGATCCTGACTGTGAGGAATGGCCATGACCTGCCTGCCCATGTATGCCGGGGTGTCCTGACTGTCCATGAGTAGTTCCTTGTCTCCCTGTACCAGAGGATCCCCACTCTCCATGCTGAGATCCAGCCTGGCCATGACTGGACCCTGGGTGTCCCTGTGAGCCTCCGGAATGCCATTCACTGCCACTGGACTCACTGTGACTAGATCCCCTTCTTCCACCACTGTGAGATCCTGACTGTGAGGAATGGCCATGACCTGCCTGCCCATGTATACCGGGGTGTCCTGACTGTCCATGAGTAGTTCCCTGTCTCCCTGTACCAGAGGATCCCCACTCTCCATGCTGAGATCCAGCCTGGCCATGACTGGACCCTGGGTGTCCCTGTGAGCCTCCGGAATGCCATTCACTGTCACTGGACTCACTGTGACTAGATCCCCATCTTCCACCACTGTGAGATCCTGACTGTGAGGAATGGCCATGACCTGCCTGCCCATGTATGCCGGGATGTCCTGACTGTCCATGAGTAGTTCCTTGTCTCCCTGTACCAGAGGATCCCCACTCTCCATGCTGAGATCCAGCCTGGCCATGACTAGACCCAGGGTGTCCCTGTGAGCCTCCGGAATGCCATTCACTGCCACTGGACTCACTGTGACTAGATTCCCTTCTTCCACCACTGTGAGATCCTGACTGTGAGGAATGGCCATGATGTATGCCGGGGTGTCCTGACTGTCCATGAGTAGTTCCCTGTCTCCCTGTACCAGAGGATCCCCACTCTCCATGCTGAGATCCAGCCTGGCCATGACTAGACCCTGGGTGTCCCTGTGAGCCTCCGGAATGCAATTCACTGCCACTGGACTCCCTGTGACTAGATCCCCTGATTCCACCACTGTGAGATCCTGACTGTGAGGAATGGCCATGACCTGCCTGCCCATGTATGCCGGGGTGTCCTGACTGTCCATGAGTAGTTCCCTGTCTCCCTGTACCAGAGGATCCCCACTCTCCATGCTGAGATCCAGCCTGGCCACGACTGGACCCTGGGTGTCCCTGTGAGCCTCCGGAATGCCATTCACTGCCACTGGACTCACTGTGACTAGATCCCCTTCTTCCACCACTGTGAGATCCTGACTGTGAGGAATGGCCATGACCTGCCTGCCCATGTATGCCGGGGTGTCCTGACTGTCCATGAGTAGTTCCCTGTCTCCCTGTACCAGAGGATCCCCACTCTCCATGCTGAGATCCAGCCTGGCCATGACTGGACCCTGGGTGTCCCTGTGAGCCTCCGGAATGCCATTCACTGCCACTGGACTCCCTGTGACTAGATCCCCTGATTCCACCACTGTGAGATCCTGACTGTGAGGAATGGCCATGATGTATGCCGGGGTGTCCTGACTGTCCATGAGTAGTTCCCTGTCTCCCTGTACCAGAGGATCCCGACTCTCCATGCTGAGATCCAGCCTGGCCACGACTGGACCCTGGGTGTCCCTGTGAACCTCCGGAATGCCATTCACTGCCACTGGACTCACTGTGACTAGATCCCCTTCTTCCACCACTGTGAGATCCTGACTGTGCTGAATGGCCATGATGTATGCTGGTGTGTCCTGACTGTCCATGAGTAGTTCCCTGTCTCCCTGTACCAGAGGATCCCCACTCTCCATGCTGAGATCCAGCCTGGCCATGACTGGACCCTGGGTGTCCCTGTGAACCTCCGGAATGCCATTCACTGTCACTGGACTCACTGTGACTAGATCCCCTTCTTCCACCACTGTGAGATCCTGACTGTGCTGAATGGCCATGATGTATGCTGGTGTGTCCTGACTGTCCATGAGTAGTTCCCTGTCTCCCTGTACCAGAGGATCCCCACTCTCCATGTTGAGATCCAGCCTGGCCATGACTGGACCCTGGGTGTCCCTGTGAGCTTCCGGAATGCCATTCACTGCCACTGGACTCCTTGTGACTAGCTCCCCTGCTTCCACCATGATGTGCTGAACTGGATTGACCTCTTCTAGACCCATGCTGGTCCAAGCCAGAAGACTGACCTGAGCCAGATCCATGTTTTCCAAAGCCTGAAGACTGACCTGAGCTAGACCCGTATTGTTCAAAACCAGATGACTGACCTGAGCCAGACCCGTGTTTTCCAAAGCCTGAGGACTGACCTGAGCTAGACCCGTGTTTTCCAAAGCCTGAGGACTGAGCTGAGCTAGACCCATGTTTTCCAGAGCCTGAGGACTGACCTGTGCTAGACCCCTGTTGTCCAAAGCCTGAGGACTGACCTGTGCTAGACCCATGTTTTCCAAAGCCTGAGGACTGACCTGTGCTAGACCCGTGTTTTCCAAAGCCTGAGGACTGACCTGAGCCAGACCCGTGTTTTCCAAAGCCTGAGGACTGAGCTGAGCTAGATCCATGTTGTCCAGAGCCAGATGACTGACCTGTGCTAGACCCATGTTTTCCAAAGCCTGAGGACTGACCTGAGCCAGATCCATGTTTTCCAAAGCCTGAGGACTGACCTGTGCCAGATCCATGTTGTCCAGAGCCTGAGGACTGACCTGTGCTAGACCCATGTTTTCCAAAGCCTGAGGACTGACCTGAGCCAGACCCGTATTGTTCAAAACCAGATGACTGACCTGAGCCGGACCCATGTTTTCCAAAGCCTGAGGACTGACCTGAGCTAGATCCATGTTGTCCAGAGCCAGATGACTGACCTGTGCCAGACCCATGTTTTCCAAAGCCTGAGGACTGACCTGAGCCAGATCCATGTTGTCCAAAGCCTGAGGACTGACCTGAGCCAGATCCATGTTGTCCAAAGCCTGAGGACTGACCTGAGCTAGACCCGTATTGTTCAAAACCAGATGACTGACCTGAGCCAGACCCGTGTTTTCCAAAGCCTGAGGACTGACCTGAGCCAGATCCATGTTTTCCAAAGCCTGAGGACTGACCTGTGCTAGATCCATGTTGTCCAGAGCCTGAGGACTGACCTGTGCTAGACCCATGTTTTCCAAAGCCTGAGGACTGACCTGAGCCAGACCCGTGTTTTCCAAAGCCTGAGGACTGACCTGAGCCAGATCCATGTTTTCCAAAGCCTGAGGACTGACCTGAGCCAGACCCGTGTTGTCCAAAGCCTGAGGACTGACCTGAACTAGACCCATGTTTCCCAAGACCAGATGACTGACCTGTGCTAGAGCCATGTTTTCCAAAGCCTGAGGACTGACCTGAGCCAGATCCTTTTTGGCCATGACTAGAGGACTGACCTGAGCCAGACCCATATTGTTCAAAGCCTGAGGACTGACCTGAGCCAGATCCTTGTTGTCCAAAGCCTGAGGACTGACCTGAGCCAGACCCGTGTTGTCCAAAGCCTGAGGACTGACCTGAGCCAGACCCGTGTTGTCCAAAGCCTGAGGACTGACCTGTGCTAGACCCATGTTTTCCAGAGCCTGAGGACTGACCTGAGCCAGATCCATGTTGTCCAAAGCCTGAGGACTGACCTGAGCCAGACCCATGTTTTCCAGAGCCTGAGGACTGACCTGAGCCAGATCCATGTTGTCCAAAGCCTGAGGACTGACCTGAGCCAGACCCGTGTTGTCCAAAGCCTGAGGACTGACCTGAGCCAGACCCATGTTGTCCAAAGCCTGAGGACTGACCTGAGCCAGACCCGTGTTGTCCAAAGCCTGAGGACTGACCTGAGCCAGACCCATGTTGTCCAAAGCCTGAGGACTGACCTGAGCCAGACCCGTGTTGACTACATTTTGAATATTCATTTGATGAACACCCTTTTTGATGAGAGTTCATAGACTGTTTACCAGACCCTTTTTGACCACAATTAGAAGACTGACTTGCTCCAGACCCATATTGACTACCACAAGAGGACTGCCTTGATCTTCTTCCCTGTTGACCACAGGTAGAGGACCCATATTGACTACCACAAGAGGACTGCCTTGATCTTCTTCCCTGTTGACCACAGTTAGAAGACCCATATTGACTACCACAAGAGGACTGCCTTGATCTTCTTCCCTGTTGTCTTCCACAGTACTGTGGTTGGCAACAGTTCTGTGGTTGACAACATGCAGGGGATCCATGTCTTCTTCTATGACAAGAAGATTGGCTACAGGAGCGAGGCTTACATTGACCATATCCAGAGGACTGACCTCTTGAGATACATCTACGACCTTGTCTTCCACTATTTTGTGAATGACAACCTGACTGAATACAACCTTGCCCTCCATATCTGCCTGCCTGACAGGAGCTGGAAACATTTTTTCTTCCTCCACACCCACTTGAGTTGATGGAATCACATGCATAGCTTTGTCTCCCACTATCTCCTGAACCTTTAGAACCAGATGCAAAAGCCTCTAATCCATGTGACAGACCATCATGACCTTTTCTTTCCCCACTCTTAAATCCAGATTCAGATTCATATTCCTCCCCAGATTCCCTAGAGGGGCTCACTGAGTGACCAGAGCTAGACCTATGGTGCCTTTTTTCAAATCCCTCTTGTTTCTCCGAACTAGATAAACTACCTTGCCTTCCCAGCCTTTTGGAAAGGGACCTATGTCTATGACCATGCTTCTCCCCATCACTCCAACTTGGATTTTTAGAACCTGATTTCTGTCCTGATGTATTCTCGTCTTCTTCTTCCGTTTCACTTCCTTCCTTTTGGTGCCGGTGACCATGACTACGCTTCTGCTTCTTTGACCCTGAAGCTTTGCAGTATTCTTTGCTGAGAACGTTGTTGCAGGCCATAGCCAGCTTGAATACCATCAGAAGAAACTCAGTAAAGTCCAGTCTTCGGTCATGATCTCGATCCAGCATATGCATAATGACCTCCACTGTGTCTGGATTATCTGGGTTCTGTATATGAGCAACACACCAAAGGAATCTTGATCAGCCTAACTCACATACTCAGCTAAAATAATCAGATAGGACTATGAAAATTGTAGATGTTTGACATGAAGTATTTTTAATCCAATCAAGGATTGCTTTAGGCTAAGGCAGACTAATAGGACCCAGCAGGTATAAACAAGTAATAAAAACAATAAAGACTATTGGAATCCTCAGAAGAATGCAGTTCAAGGGCCTAAGTTAGAGAACTGGGTACTCAAATATGGCATACAGGAAGGAGTTGGATAAACTAAGTTCAGTACTGGTGTGTTTTAGTTTTTGCATACATTTAAAACATATGCTAATATATTCTATATTAGGATCTATAATTTTGAAGTTAATAGCTGCATCCTTTCCTAGTAGATGGGGGGGGGGGTGGGGAAACCCATGTATCTTATTTTCTGTTTTTAGTTATCCTGACTACTTGGTCAACTGCCCCTGTACATGACTTCTCTTTCTATAGTTTTTCTTCCCCATTTGATAGGGTAACTTATTAATTCATGTCTTAGTACAGATTTCATTTTCTGCTCTTTTAGAAGAAGTCTGGGGGTCCACATGGTGGAAACATACAAGAAAATAACAGTCACTTTTCTAAAAATAAACACTGCCTCAACAGACTTTCTGATGTCCCAAAAAAGTACTGCTTATAGAGTTTTCTCCAAGACTACTGGAACTAATATCAGTTAATATGTGGTTATATAACAGAGAATGTACAGAACTGTAGGAACCTTTAGTTCTAGCACATGGTCCTCACCTTCAGAATTGGCCGAAACTCTTTTTCCAGAAGTTCCTTTAGATCATCCTTGCTCAGTGTGCCACATTCTCCATCTTGGTTGGTGTATTTGTAGAAAACATCAATGACGGTAACAACACTTCTTAAGAGGTCGGTCATCTTTTTGCACGTTTAAGTGAACCTAAAGAGAAAAACAAAAGAGGCTATCATTCATTTTCTTTCCTTTTAATTTATAGGCAGTTCTATTTTTAATAATTGTCATCGTGAGTTTTCAAATCTCTCGTCTCTTTAAAACCTAAAATACCTCAAAAAGTAAAGATGGGTCAGGATGATCCAAAACCTTTCAACACAGTGAAAAATAACTTCATTAACATTAGTCAAGGACATGTTACTGGCTGAACTGGGACTAAATCTCAGGTCTCCCATGTCCTGGATGAATATATTCTTTTCTTAATGTCTCAACACTTTATGTACTTTGGTGTCCTAGGTGTTGTCCTGGGGTTTCCAAAGTTTCTAGAACTGCCCAGACATATTTCCCCAGTTTCTCTTGCTAGTTTCACTGATTTTCTAGAGGCAAAAGCAACAGACCTTCTACCAAAAGCTAAACTGGATCCTTAAGACCTTCAGAAAAAAAAATATAGGCAAAGTGAGCCAATGCTTTCTTGGCTTTCAGAGGCCTGAGGTAGCTTCTTGAGATCGTAGGAACTATCCTAATCTCAGCCCTTGACCTAATTCATTCATCAGGGAGAAAGGCTCAGAAATGCAGGCAGCAATTTGACTGGTAGATGATTTGATCTTGGAACTGACACTGAACAAGGAAGGAACTCTACAGCAGTGCCAGCCTTCCCCCATTTGAGCTGGGCAGTCCAGGAAAGATGGCATGCGAAAAGACTAGGAAGGAAGTGTGGAATGGCCTGTAAGAAGACAAACTTCCATTGAATTACTCTTCTCCACAATGACAAATGTATTCTAAAAAAAGCTCCAGAATAAATTAAACTAACCAAACAAATAAGCAAATTAATATATATTGATATATAATATATATAAATTAATATATATATATTATAAATGACAGCAATTAGAAAAAAAAGATACAATGGTAGAAACAGAAAAAAGAAAGAAAAAAAAAAAGAAAAAAAGAAGAAGAAAGGCCAAATATATATTAACTCTGCCTTAGCTCAGATTCTTGGATTTCTGCTGTGGACAATGACCAACCAAATATCCTTCGAGTATAGCTGGATAAATTTTCTCTCACCTGGTTCACCAAAGGAACAAGTAGGAAAAAGCCTGTTGAAGCTTGCAGGGTGACAATGATTGAGATAGTGGCCCTTATATAGCTAAACATGTGGGTGCTGCCCTCTGTGGGATGGACTGATTAATTTCCAATCAAACCTAACTCCACCTTTGTCCATGTTTACCTTCCTACTTCTTTGCATTCTCATCTGTGAGATGATTGTAGAAAGGCTGGTATTGAAGCCCCTTCCAACATGAGGACATGCTGCAGGGCACTTTTTCTCAGGGCCATGAACTTGTGAAAAGCAGATACTGTGTTTTAGAGGACTTGTGTAGGTCATCCCCTTTATTTAGTACCACGAAGGTAGCAAACTGTAAGGTACTTGGTAGGTATGCAATAAATGCTTATTTAATTGATATGAATGTAGGTGCCCTGGCCAGGTGACTCAGTTGGTTAGAGAGTCATCCAGTGAACCAAAAAGGTTTCAGGCTTGATTCCCAGTCAGGGCACATACCTAGGTATCCGGTTTGATCCCCTGTTGGGGCATGTATGAGGCAACCAATCAATGTTTCTCTTTTATATAAATTCTCTCTCTCTCTCTCAAAATCAATAAAAGCATACCCTTGGGTGAGGATTAAAAAAGAAAAGACAATGAACGTAGGTCGTTAGGCTTACCTAACATGTCTTTTTGCAATAATTTCCATTTATTGAGAATTTACTATGTGCAGGATATTATGCTAAATACTTTTCACATATCATCTCATTTAATTTTCAGCACATTTCTATGAGATATGTATTTCCCCCCCATTTTACAAATGAAGAAATAGGTTCAGAGAGTATGCAAGTCATCTCTAAGTTCATACAATTAATAGGTGGAGGAACCAGGGTTTGAACCTATAGCTACCTTATGACAATGCCTTTGCTCTCAACCTTTATACCAGCTTATCTCTGTGTTTTGATTACATAGGCCTATTATGCAAAAATTATGCTTTGTTTTAGGAGTGTCAGGTCTATTCAAACACATACACAAAAAATGAAAGAACAATAAAAGGAGTGTTGTCATCCAGGAAGAGAAGAAACGTATTCTCTGGCCCTTTGAAGGTTCTTTTCTAGACTATAAAGGCATAAGTTAATGGGCTAACCACAGAAGTAATGCTTTCAAATGTGCTCAGAGTGAATTTAGAGTGAACTTTCTTTTGGGGCTTTCTTTTACCCATTGGTAGTCCGGCAGCTTTGGATCTGAACCCTTGGAGAATGCCGCTTATGTACATAAAGTAAATCAAATATAAAACCTGTGGGAGCCGAAACCGGTTTGGCTCAGTGGTAGAGCGTCGGTCTGTGGACTGAAAGGTCCTGGGTTTGATTCCGGTCAAGGGCATGTACCTTGGTTGCAGGCACATCCCCAGAAGGGGGTGTGCAAGAGGCAGCTGGTCGATGTTTCTCTCTCATCGACTTTTCTAGCTCTCTATCTCTCTCCCTTCCTCTCTGTAAAAAATCAATAAAATATATTTTAAAAAAAAACAACCAAAAAAAACGCGGGAAGCAAACATAGTCAGAAGGTCATAGTAGGCAGGAAGAACCAGCTTTTCTGTACTTTGCCACCAGGTGGTGATAATGATGATGATGAAGATGATAACGATGAAGATAGCAGTTATCATTACTTAAATATTCACTATCTTTTAAACAAAAGGTTTTACATGCTTATCTATTTATCCCTCACAATAACTCCGTAAAGTCAGTATTTTTATTCTTACTTTACAGATAAATAAATGAAAGCATAGAGAAATTTAATAATACATCCAAATCACAGCTTCTATGTGGCCGCTCTAGGATAGAAACCCATGCAGTCTGATGTGAAGGCCCTGCACTTAGCCACATATATACCACATATGTGGGTTTGATCAGTTCCTATCTGGGCACTGCTTCAGGGGAGCCATCATATATTCACCCCAAAGCTGGACGGTGCCTAGGACTTAGCAAACACTTAGAATGTGTGTGTTCACAAAATGTTAATGGGCACACCACTGAGCTATACCCATTGCTCTCATAGCCAGGGAGTCCTAGGCCAAAGTGACCATACGAAAGTTATGTGGTTCCTTGGATGTTATGGTTGTTTTCAATTGTACCAATTTTTTGGAATTATCCTTGTGTTTGTTGCAATGACTGTCTTTCAGATCCCCAGTCCCCACACTGAGATTTTAAAGCCATCTTTGCACTGCAACTCCAGGGTTCTAGGTCAGAACTTGGAAACCTGTTCATGGTTCGACTGCTCACAGAACTCTAGCATTCACTCTTTTGTATTCTTTGTGTCTATATTTCTCTTCTTCTTCTAACCTGCTTAGCATCATAGGTAAAAGT